ACTATTTGCACCAGGACAGTAGTGGTGTTTAAAAAAGTTAAATGCCTCATATGTAGTGCTTATTGTGTTCTAGGATCCACTCAAGGTAATAGGAATACATCGCCGTACAATTCCTGGGAACAACGGGCTCGCCACAACACAGCCTACACCCAGGACACTAGCCCTGACAGCTGCACGGCGCCGTGGGGACCGTCACACACCAAGGGACCTCCGCCGTCGCCCTGTGGGAAGAAAAGGAAGTGATGGTGAAACTGAAGCACTAATAATAATATTGATAATAATATTATAATGATAATAGTAATGACAATGATGATGGTGGTGGTGATGATGGTGGTGGTAATGATGATGATGATGGTGATGATGAGGATGGTGATGGTTATGATGCTAATAACATAACAATAATAGCTATTATATCACTAATGACAACTAAGTCCCTGACCATAATTACATTAATATCAGTAGAGAATAGAATGGTATTGATAATAACAATAAATAGTAAATGGTAATAAAGTGATAATGTTGATAACATTTATGACTGTACTGATATTACAATGGAAGAAAGTAAAGCAGCAAGTCCGATAATATTATTGACCCATGATAATGTACTGATATCATATACAAAATAATTATTTCAGATGATTCATTATTCTTATCTTAAGATGGAAATCCTGATATAGGGGAAAGAAGTAAAAAAAAAGCACAGATAAGGACGACAAGCAGCAATCGAGAAAAAGGTTATGAATAAAGAAATAAAATTAACGTAACAATAGATGACATCAAAACTAAAACGTAACTTTCTCCTGGCTAAACCACGATAATGGCCTTCTGTTGATGGTTATACATCGCGATGCGTTTCACTATACTTTCCCTGTCTTTCTATAGCTATTTTCCTATTTTGTAGTCTTGTGGTGATAGTGTTGTGTGATAATGCCGTGATTGTGTTGATGGGTCCATTTGACGGTGTCTTGGGTTTTGCTATGATTGCGCTTATCTTTTGTGATTTTTTTTTTTTGTGTTGATGTGTGCTTGTTGTTGTTGTTTTTTTTGTATATTGTCTTTGGTGCTTCGTGGATTGTATATTCTGTCATTGCATTAATTGATGACGTCACAACGCCCCGATAATCCAAGGCTTACAGAAATCGCACAATATCATTTGGCAGAAGAATAAAAGACTAACAATAAATGAATGAAGATAAGAATTCTGCGCCTTTGATGAAACTATTTATCTAGAATAGTATAACGTAGAACAGTAAAAGAATAAGATATATGAACGGAAAAAAAAGTAAGCAGTAATTTATTCAAATATCGCCTCACCTTGCAAGCGTCTTTGCCTCCTTCTCCTCCGGCGCAGAGGTACCGATTGGCAGGAGAAGTTGGGCCGAGCGGGTGCGCTGCGGCCTGCCTCGCACTGGCGGTGGGAGGATGATGGGCAGCTCCACGCTCCTTCAGGTAGTTTGGAACTGCCCTCCTTTCCCGAAGGCATCCTTGCCCCAGCCAGTGGAGTGGCACCTCTGACCTACGTAGCTTTGTAAGGCGTCCCGGGGACAAACGGGCGAGATGTGGGGGCTGTGGGCGAAGGAGAAATGTTGAAATGTCGTGAAATTTTGAATTAGAGTTTAGTAGGGCTTCGTTTTTGTTCCCTTCCGGTGAAATAATGCGTCTGAGGGAACTGATATATTGGAATTCTGGTTTTACAGAACACAGTTGCTTGAACTCACGTTGGACGGAAGTCACGCTGCGTTCTAGCGTAATAATTGCGATACGTTGATGATGCTGCCGCGTAATACTGCGGGTGACGAGGGCGCTGACAGCCCTAAGTTCGATGTGGCTGAAGAACTCGGTCTTGGCGCGGACGTCCCACTCGCCCATGCGGCCTCTCACCTCGCGTGCCCGCAGTACTACTGCGCAGTGAGCGGCGGTGAGTACATGGCGAGCTCCGATGAGCGTCGCGCGCGGGGGGCACACGTACAAACGCTGTGGCCGTTCTCGTCCTTCAGGATGGCCGCTTCCACGGTATTCCGCCGAATTCCGTGTCGCCGTTCTCCAGAATCGGGTTTTGATGCGTCCGAGGAGCCCGCGGAGTGACGGCGACCGCACTCAACGGGCAGTCCGAACACGGGGTTCGGCAACACCGAGGGCCGAGCCGCAGCCGCTCAGGCCAGGCTGGTAACTTCGGCGCTTTTGTGGGAAAAATAAGAGAGGAAAGCTGAGTATTAATTGTCCCGTTTCAGAGATTTTTTAAGTATTAGAGTAAGATCTATACACACACCACACACACACATATCCACAGCACCACACACCACACACACACACACACCACACACACACACACACACCACACATATATATATAATATCTATATATATATATATATCAGATATATATATAGATAAAATATATATATATCTATTATAAATAAATAAATATATAGATATATATAATATATATATATATGATATATATATTATATACATATATATTGATATATTATATAATATATATATTAATATATAATATATATATACATATATATGATACTCAATTGATAGTTTGTATGTAAACCATATAGAGCAAATCATACTCATAATTTGATTAGAGGAAATGATAACATGATTTGTCTGAATTTCATATTTTGTTGCTCATTATCCCTTAATAGAGCGGAAAATGCTCAAATTAAACATGACGCAAATTAACGCATCGGACTCAAAACAACTTGCTCCTGTCATCTCACCTCCGGGATGCCTGTGCCGTTGACAGAACCTTCCAGAAGCTCCCTCTTGGTCCTCGACTCCTTTTCCTCCTCTTCGGTGGTCGGGTAGACGATCCTGTGCTCCTCGTCCTCGGCATCAGTGCTGTTGGAGAGGATCCCCGAGGAGGGCAGGCGCGAGCGGGGGTCGATGAGGAACGAAGGCTCCACGTGCTGTGGGTCGTTGCTCCTCGGAACGACGTCGAGGGAGGCGCAGAAGGAGGGATGGACGCACTGGCACTCTTCTCCGTACCAAGGGCGCTGGGTAGGTCTGTGATGTGGCGGTTGGGGCGGGGCACCGACGCCTACGCCCACGCTGGCGCCCTCGCTGTGGTGGATGTGGGTGTGGGAGTGAATATGCTGCACCACAGGGGTCGGGGTGTAATGGGGGGTGGGGGTCGGAGTGTAATAATGGGCAGGTGTTGGAGGTGGAGCAGTGTAGTGAGGCTTTGAGGGTGGTGGGCGGTAGTGGTTGGGCTGGTGGCTGCCGTGTGAGGGCGTGAATGAGGACTGGAAAGGCCGCTGGTACTGGCTTCCATGTGGAACTTTTGGCGGTTTGGGTGGACACTGTAAAAATTGGAAAAATTGTAGAAATGAAAGTTACATGAGATAAAAGATATAACATGAATAGCATGAAAGCAACATTTCTTGGTAAAGTACAGCATGAACCACTTACATTTAACCCAATTCCGATAGCACACAGGTTGAAGAACCTCGGGTGAAGTTCTTCATCCCCGGTATCAAGGGCTTTCGAACTGCCCTCCGAAGTCCCCTGAAGAGGCCCAGTCACCCTCGGTGTCCTTGAAGTCTCATCGGCAGGGGCATCTTTGGCGGCAGGGGCGGCTGGGGCAGGAGCCGGGTCATCGGAACCCCATGACCAGTTCTGGCCGTGCACTGCCGTGATCGCCAGCAGCACCAAACACGCTGTTTCGTTGTCATAGGGTTGAAAGCGTATTAGATTTGCGTTTTACTCATTACCTCTATTTCTTTTCATAAGCAGAAACCAGAAAAGACTAAAGAAATATATTCATCAACAGTAGGTAACATCAGCTTACAGTTGTGTTTCGATACATCTTACCAATGGAACTTAAGGTCAAGTCAAATGCCTGTGTCGAGGAAGTTCAGACGGTATCAAAACGCCGCTTGCTGTCAGTCGATTTAAGTGAAGACTCATCCTTGTCACAGTCGAGTTTGCTCATTCCACCTCCTCGCTTTGCTTTATTCATTTTTTTTCTTTCTACTTAGCTTTATATTTTCATGGAGTTGATGGAATATGAGTCTTGGATAGATGTCGTCGCGGTCATATTAGGTACACAGAATTTTGATAGGAAAACAAGGAAACATATATGGTTATAACACAAATGAAGACAGAAAACCCAACGAATGTGTTTCTATGAAAAATATGCAGTTGTACGTTTTACATTGGAAAAAGAATGGGAGAAGATAACGAAAAGGAAAAATCACGACTTAAAGAAAAATAGAGAAAGGAGAAATAGGCTATACTACAATATATTGAGCAAAAAATAAAAAATAAAAAATAAAAAAAGAACAAAGAGAAATAACATGAGAAATAAATAACAGAAATTAATAACAAAAGAGTGAAAAATCCTTAAACTTCACCCAGAGGTACACAGGCCACAGTACACAGAAAGCACTCAGTTCAGTCTCGCTGTCTTCACACATCGCCCCCTTTACCTTCACCACATGTTACGTTTGTGAACGTCTTCATACAAAAAACTGTAGTGCAGGATGACATCAACGTCGTTACGTCAGAGGGGAGGAAAGTGCACTGAATCACATGCACGACGTAAAAGAGACTGTGTGATTAGGACTGATTCTTAATTAGGTAGAATGTGATTGTATTAGCTTTTGGATATCCGTTTTGTATGGTGATTTTCGTCATATGTGCGAGCAATAAAAGTTTGAAATGAAGGAGTGTTTTCCTTTTCCAATCACTGAAAAAGAGGATAGCAAAGAAGAAAAAAAAATCATGAAAATACACTTACTTGCAAACTTCATGTCGACTCGGTCTCTTGGCACCAATGAATGAATAAATATACCAACAAAAACAAATAAGAACAAGAAAAAATTAACTGTAACCCGACTGAAATAACACGAACGCCCACACCCCCACTCTCTCGTTGTTCGGTCGACTCTGAGCAGCAAGACGAGCGGTACACCTTTTATATTTCCTCTCTTGGGTCGACCTTCACTCCCCCTCCTCCTCCTCCTCCTCTAACATCCTCCCTCCTCCCCCCTCTGCCTTTTCGACCCCCCTCCCCTTCCTCCCTTCCTCAATTAGCGCCCTTCCTTTCCTCTACCGCTGTGGATCCCCTATCTTTTTTTTCTAATGTTTGTCTTCTGGTATCCCTAGTCCTCCCTCTCGTGACTAATCCTTTCTTTTATTTTTTTTTCTATTTTTTTATTTACGTTCAGCGTTTAACTATATATTTAAAACCTGATTGTGTGTTTTGTAGTTTTGCATTAAAAGCAATTTCCATAATACTGATTTACTTAGAATTTGCTTAAAAAGAAGAAAAAAAGATAGTGGTATTGCCAGGAAAACGAAGATTGATTTGCATGCTATTTTGTTATGGACTTTCTTTCTCCCTGTCTATTTGTTAGTCTGTCTGTTTCTCCCCCCCCCCCCTCTCTCTCTCTCTCTCTCTCTCTCTCTCTCTCTCTCTCTCTCTCTCTCTCTCTCTCTCTCTCTCTCTCTCTCTCTCTCTCTCTCTCCCTTTCTCTCTCTCTCTTCCTCTCCCTCTCACCCTTCTTCCTTAAACTTTTTTTTAATTCTTAGTCTGGTCCCTTCTCCCTTTCGCTCGTTTATTTACCTGTCATTACTTTACCCACGAATTACTATAATAGGTAGGTTGGCTTGTTTTGTTTACCCTAGCTTATGGCGTTTTACAAAGAATAGTTGTTTATGTTGAAATATGAGTGCTCCATATGCGCTAAAAGGAAATCCAGTGCTATAATATTTCCAGTTTCATCAAAATCACTAATCTTTTTATTTCCTTGTTATATTTCCTGGTTACTATTTCTTCTTCCACTCTTTTCACGCCTCTGCTTTCTCCTTCACCTTTGATGAACGAAGCGAAGGAAAATCTAACATCCGGTTACATCGTGAGATAAAGGTGCAACATTGACTGACAAGTTGCAAGGTCAGGGTTAGGAGGAAAGAAAGGTGGGGGGAAGAGAAAGGGGAGGGGAGGAAAGCCGGTTGAGGAGGGGGAGAGGAAGGAAAGAGAAGAGCGGATGGGAAGGGGAGGGGAAGGGGTGGAGGAGGGAGAAGGGAAGAAGATTTCATCCATTCATCTATTGTTGCTGAAAAGATCTCAATGGCTTTCTCGCAACAAACGAGCAGCTTATGACATTGAGGTTTTGTCTATTTGTATGCTAAATAAATACGTGAATATTTCAACGAACAAAGTATACATTAATTGAACAGAATGTGTGAATACTTCATTATAAAAATAGATAACCATATGTAAATAAATGCACATATCATAAATCCATATACTAGTATGCGAGTGTACGCGAATCTGTTGTAGGCGTTATATTACGGATACCTCCTTATACGCATTGAAATTCCCACGTGTGTACATCTGTATATGTGTCTGTGCACGTGGCCATAACTTATTACGTACAGCAAGGCGATGACTCAGAGAGCTGCTCAGGATCCATGAAATCTGGTCCTAGATGTATGTACATGGTTCAGAATGAAGGTTAATGTGACACAAGCGATTTGGAAAATATATATATTTACGATGATTACTTCTGTAATTCACGTGTTTTTGTTATTGTCGTCTGTAGATGCATTTTTTTTTATTAGTACTGTATCATTTGCATTATTATCGTATTATTTGTGGTTGTTAGAGTAGTAGTAAAAGCAGTAGTCGATTACTATTATTATTTACTTTCACTGTTGCTTTTATAATTATTGTTACTGTTGTTACTGATGTTGTCTATATATTGTCGTTATTGCTCTTGCTCTCACATCTGGTATTTTTCATCATCATTCTTATTGTTATTGTAATTGTTATTATTATCATTATTATTGTTATATTATCAGTATTATTATTATCATTATTGTTATTATTATCATTATTATTACTATTATTATTCTAACTATCATTTGTTTTATCATTATCATTATCATTATTATTAATATCATTATCAATATTATTATTATCATTATTATTCTAACTATTATTTGTTTTATCATTATCATTATCATTCTTATTAATATCATTATCAACATTATCATCATCATTATCATTATTATTGTTATTATTATTATTATTACAAGCCTATTACAACTCCTATCCTCCTACCGTTATTAACATCCTGCCATCTTATTAGTGGAGTTCATAACCTCCTATCATTATCAGCATCCTACTAAATTACATTCTAGACGAAGTTCTGCGGGGCTGTCACGCACTGTCATGTGTGTCCCGGCTGTCAGATTCACGTGTCATCATCAGCTATCATATCGTGACCTTTGGATGTCATCCTCCAACCCTCACCTAATTTTATATCCTGTTGGTCCGTGTTTTACTAATTTTTTTTATAAATCTTTATTTTTTGCGAGTGTTTTTTTTTTTTTTTCTATGAGCTCTGTTTTTTTTTAGAGGATGTTTGTTTTGTTTGGTTTGTTTCGTGTTATTCATTTGTTTGTAAAAGCTGATGTATCTATTTCCATTTTCTGTTTTTTCGCGTATGATTTGTTTATTCTATGTACTCATGTCCCTAAACTATCTACGTATCTTTTTTACCTCTTTATCTATCAATTTATCCATCCATTTGCCTTTCTCTCTTTCTAATGTTCTCTATTCCAAACCCCTACACACACACACACACACACACACATATATATATATATAGTTATCTGGTTTTCCGTGTCTATTTATCCATCACTTCTATTCTCTTGCACCCCCCCCCCTTACTATTCTCTAGTTCTCCCTTTGGCTCTCTCTCGCGCTCCTTCTGGATCTCTCTCTCTCTATCTATCTATCTATCTATCCCTCTATCTATTTATCTATCTATCTACCTAACTACCTATATATCCATATGTCTCTGTCTCTATCTCTCTCCTTCTCTCTGGCCATCTCCTATCTGACCGCTTACCCTCTCTCTCCCTCTCTCGTTCATTGGATTACCCAATCGCTCTGACCTCCAAGAAATTAGTTACATTAGCTCCGGGGAGATACAGGTACAGTATATGACTCATCTCCTTTCTCCATCCCTAATTCCCATTCCCACTAATCGTCCTAGTGCCCCCCTCCCCCGTCCCTTCCTTTTCCTAGATATCCGTCTCTTTCCACTATTCTCTTCTCTAAATTCCATCTCGTTCCTCCCTTCCCCCCTTACTTCGCTTCCCCCACACCTGCCCCTTTCCCTTTCTTCTCCCTTATATCTACCCCCTTCCCCTACTCGCCCTCTCCCCCTAATTCTCCTATCTCCTTCCCCCCCCCCCCCCACAAACGCCGTTTCCCCTAATTACCCTCCCTCACTCCCTCCCCCTTCCCTATTTCGCCCCCCTCACTCCCGCCCTCCCCCACACCCGCTGTATTCCCCTCCTTCACTCCCACCCCCACTCACTCGCTCCCTAACCTCCCATCCGATCACTCACTCATCGGGATCATTAGGGAACTCAGTCAGAGCAAAGGACAATTTTTCTCACCAAGAGCAGCGGAGGCGCAGAGTGTGAACTGTGACGCTTGGGCAGGAGGCCGGGCTCGTGGTGTCGCGAGCGGGTGATTTTCTTTTGTGTTTGTTTTTATTTACTGTTGTTGATGTAATTTATCATTAGGATCGCAGTTGTTGTTCATTATATCATTATTATTGTTATTGTTATCATTATTATTAGTAGTAATAGTGGTAGTACAATAGTAGTCCCATTTTTATCACATATTATTATCACCACTATCATTATTTTTGTCATTACTATCATTGTTGGCATCGTTATTACCATCATTAATATTCTTCTTATTATTATCATCCTCATCCTTACAAATACTGCTATTACCAATGCTATAAATCGTCCTTATTACAACTATTATCGGTATTGTTTGTTGCCGTTATTTAGTAATTAATGACATTGTTATTAGTAGCAATATTACTATTGCTATTGCGATTATTACTAGTATCATTAATATTATCATTTGTAGTAGTAGTATTGGTATTATTATTACTGTTATTGTCATTATCATCATTATTGCTTTTGCTGATATTGTTATCATTGTCAATACCATCATTTTTAATATTACTGTTATCAAAATCATCTTCATTTTTACAATTACTACCGTTATAATAAAAAGCAATTTACTGTTGCTGTTGTTGGTGTGGTGATTGTGACCAGTGAAAGTAATAGTAAAACTAGCATTGGTAGCAAAGTTATTAATAGCAATAACAGTAATAGCAGGAAACAGTATCAGTAATTCTAAGTTATAATTCTCCTTGTGTTTCATAGCCAGGGTGTTATCACTTGAATCCGTACACAGTGACCGAGCATTTCATGAAGGGACCGCAACCTTGGAAATTTAACCTTCCAAGAAAAGTAAAGTGAGGTTAACTGCTTGGGGTTTTCTGAAACCATTTGGGCATGGAGCGGTGAAATAGCTTTTGGGTAGTCTGTGTACTGCTTGATGATTCCATGAGCAAAGATTTGGTTTCTATAACACTTCTGTTGCTGGAAATTGTGATACTTTTCTTTGGTGTTTTGCGCCGCTGGATTTGTAATGAATTGATATGTAAGCGTTAGTAGATATGTAGATGGGGAGATGGAGAGAGAAAGAGAGAGAGAGAGAGAGAGAGAGAGAGAGAGAGAGAGAGAGAGAGAGAGAGAGAGAGAGAGCGAGGGCGAGAGAGTGAGAGAGAGAGAGAGAGAGAGAGAGAGAGATAGAGAGAGAGAGAGAAAGAGACTGACAGACAGATACACAAACAGACAGACAGATAGATAAACAAACAGACGCACATGCACACACACAGGCAGTGAGATAGAACTGAGAAAGATTGCATTAAAGAAAGAGAAAAAGAGAAAGACCAAGAGTAATTATAGCTTCTACACAAGACTGACTCCAATACACCCACAATAACGAGGTAAACATTTCGAGCGATAAACAAAGCGCCTGGGTAAG